AAAGAGATTTTTATCTAGTTATCAACAGTGAAGTGTTTGTCTCATTTTTGTTAATATATTAAGAACCTCTAAGTGTGCATGGTCAAGGTATTACAGTGTTTATCGCTCTAAGATTGTTTGTTTTCCATGCGCTCAGTTCAGATTTGAGTGGTTATGTTTGCTTGGTCTCGTAACGTCGAAGCTTTTAATTATCGCCACAGTCTGCCGGTGGAAAGAATGAACATGTCACAAATGACATCTATCACCAGGTATGAAAAAGTAGATACCGCCCAAGCCTAATCATTACTGCACAATGTGTTTTTTTGTCAGATAGGCAGCTAGAAGAAAGAGTCAAAGAGTCAGCTGACAAGTGAACACACTAAAAAACTGTTTCCTCCGCTATGCCAGAGTCCCACCCGCCACACACACACACACATATACAACAGGGTGGGAATCCCTCTCATTACCCATTATCCACTACAGCCCAGGCTGTCATCGAACTCTCTGTGGACAGAGGATCATGGGAGCTCTGAGAAAGGTCAGAGAGAGCAAGTAACCAGCTGGGCCATAATCAAGACACGCGCACACATAAACTCATCGAACCAACCTTGCACCAAGATGTATTGATCACACAGTCTTCCAACAACACACACAACCTCCCTCCTTTTTCACTCTCTCTCTCTCTCCTCATTACCCCTCTTTCTAGCTCCCATTTCCTCTCTCCCTCACTCTTTCATCCCCACTCCTTTTATCAGTTTCTCTCTCTCTCTCTCCTTTTCCCTCCCTGTCACTCTACCAATTCTCTTCTCCATCTCTGTCTTTCTCCCCATCTCTCTAAGCATTACTCTCTCACCTCTTCTCCCCCCCCCACTTTCTGTCCTTGCCATCACCTCTTTCATTTCTCTTTACTTAATATATCTCCCCCTCTTCCTGTATTTATCTTTGTATTTCCTCTCTCTCTCTGACTCAATTCCAAAAGCATAAGTCAAGGCTAAAGTTATTCACCTGTAACACCTAAACATCCCAAAACATAAAATTGCTTTTATGAAATAAAGACATTAACCCTTTGAGAGAATGAGTGAAGGTGCTGTTTCATGCATGCTATGTATTTTTCGGTGTGGCCATTGTTTAGGCCATCATCTACAAACTAAACTGATTGCAAAACTAGATGTTTCTGGTTCAAGTTGGCTTACAAACCTAGCCAAATCATTTCTTGGTAATACATTGCTGTAATGTATTTTGTTGGATTTCTCACTACATAGTAAAAAGAAAGGCCGTCACTCAATCCTGTATTTTCAGAGTTGAGGTAACAGCTGGCACAAGAAATGGAATTAGATGACATTTGTGTCGTCTGTAGCAAAGGCCAGCAGGCTTTACACCTAGTTACCATGAATCAGACTCAGATAATAAACAGAGGGGTATGTGTGTCTCTCTCACTCTCTGGATATGACCCAGCTCAATGACCCTCAAGAGTAAAACTGATGAAAAAGTCAAGATTACTTTTGAGCTAATTTCCGCCGTGAAAGTGGAAGTCAACTTTCCAGAATAGTAAAAAAAAGAAAATTACTTATAATGTTAATCATACAAACAACTCCAGTTAGAAGTGAGAAATATCTATAACGACTAGTGGGGGGGGGGGGAATCTAATTGCGATTTTTCAGCCACATATTGCGATTCGCGATTTTTCTTTGAAGTTTTGCTAAAGTTCAATATTCACTGCCAGTCTATTGATGGAAGCTGCGTCTAGCTGCGTCTAGCGGCACGGAGCTGATGAACCAGGCAGGAAAGTCAGACACAGAACGGCACAGAAAATCCGGTCGATTTTCAAAATATAACACCCTTTGCAGACTCCCGATCACACATCAACTATTTAAAACAAACAAAAAACAATTTAACTAAGTAGCCTACTTAACCATAGTAGAAGCTGAAAAATAAGCAAACATCATTTATTCTGAAATGCATCATGAGGATATGTAACGTTAGCCTGCAGAGCGGGCTCACAGAGAGCTGTGATCCGTAGTTGAAGCACACAAAATGACAAATTAACAACACGTTAACAACGTGCAGGCTAAACGCTGCTGAAACACTTCAGTGTGAGCTGACGCCGGACAAAACCGCGGCTCAGCCCCCGCGCCTGTGTCGGTTCGGCTGATGCCATTATCCCACATTTTCCTCCAGTTTCTTTTGTTGTTGAAAAATGTGCACGCCCTGTGCGCGCTCTGATTGGCAAGCAGGACCGTAACAGGAGGCGCATGGCGATTGTGATTGGCGAGCAAGTCTGTCACACAAGGATGACAACGGCATGAATCTGTAACTGCAGGACTGTTTAAAACTGTAAAATTAACCTCCATTTTAAATTGCCGTCTTCACGATTAGCTAATCGCGTTCTTTCAAATCACAATTTCTGTTAATTGTTCAGTACTAATCTGCAGCAGTCTTTAGAAGAAAAGAGTAGACTTCACGTCATCATTCAGTCTGGTTTTGGCCTTCGTGCCCTACATTTTGGCCGCAAAGCCCCAATAAATTTGTATTTATCAAAGTGGCTTTGCCCTAAAAATGACTTAATTCCACGCCTGAAGCTCTGATTGGCTCAGCTTTTTTTTCCAACCAGCAGCCTATGAGCACATCACCGGTCTAATTGGAATCACTGAAAAAAATGTGGAAAGCACTTCAGAGACAGCAATCAGCAACAAATAAAGAAAAATAATCAAGCAAACCTGAATTTCCATGCAAATCTGCAGTCACGTAGCAGCGCTCACCAACGAAAACCCAAAGCTGTCATGTGTGCTTTAACATTTCCTCCCAGCCCAACTTCAATCAATGCAATATCCTCCACATACAAGAAGTGTTCCTAATGAGGGACTCAGAAAGCCCCCGTGGGCTCTGTAGAAGATTTATTTACATGCATGACAAAAGTGTCAAAAGTCAACAAGCTATTGTTTCCTGAGTCATTTCAGTAACAGGTGCTGCTAATCAGCATGGCATACACTGAACAGCACCAGGAGAGAAACGGCTATTATAATTTTAATGAGGTTTCTGCTTATTTGAAATAAGGCACTTTCAGAGGCCCATATACAGCCTGACAAAACTGATTTTACCCTTTAACACTACAAATATGCATTTTACCATCAAATACAGTTGATCACTCTGCAGATATCCATCTAAACCAGTTTTCCCTCAGTTCCTCCGAAGAATGGGGCTGCAGCTACCAAAAAGCTATACCTGCATGTGATCCAAACAGATAGTGGTATGCAGGAAGTTCCAGTGTAAACCAAAAGAAAATAAAAGGAGGTGCAGAGATGAAAATCAGTTGAAGCTTTTATCTCCACCAGCTTTTATTTACATTTTCTCTCAGTTACATTGACTACTACTTCCCCTTCTTTCCTGTCAGGGAGACAACAAAGTTTTTGAAGTTCCAGTTGAAAACACAAACATAATTACGGCTCCAGCTAGCGCTAAGTGGTTTGATTGACTTTAATGAGCTTGCTAGAATAAATGACCAATTCATTCCTGAGTTAATCTTAGCTGATTATCATGAACATGTTCGCCTTGACAGCCACATTTGACAGGTGCTAAAGTTTTTTTACTGAAATTAAGCCTAAAGCTGGGGGTGTTTTATACAAACCCACCTTTGAACTCACTGTAAGTGTAAGTGTATTCTTTTCACGTCATATGTGATGATTAAACCTGGGAGCACCTCAAAACAAGAGGTAAACATACAGATGTCGTGAAACTAAATTAATGTAGATGGAGAATTAAGTGGAATCAAAACTGCTGAGATAAGACATCACCTAGTAAAAATAATGTTTCAATTATTTTACAATATACAAAGAAATATCATCCCCACCACAGCCTAAAGTTACTAAATACAGACGGGCCGATCAAAGATGGCGCGCTCTGTTTTCAGGTATGTGTTACTGTTGGCAGCAACTGGCAGGAAAACTGAGGAGCTCTACAGAAATCCATGTTAAACATAACTGACATGTCGTATTGCGACGACCTTTGGGCAATTTGTGTGTGTCAAAATAGGCAAACAATGTTATCTAAATGTATCAAGGATCTGAGCGAGCCCCGGAGATACGAACATTATTTAAAATACCTCAATATGTTTAGAACATATTATATATGTTATAAAACAATATTTCTACATATCTCAAAAAACAAATTTCTCATTTTCTCATGATTCATTGTCATCATTTTACCCTGCAGCGTCTTCATCATCACCACAATCATCATGAACCATCAGTGTCTTCATCAACACAATCAAAACCTTCATCCTCATCACCACATTCATGTCTTCATCAGCATCGTCTTCATCACCACAGGCATTAATATGCTTTAATTGTCATCATTGTAAACATTACTGTCTTCATCATCATCTCAATCACCCCACGGAACTTCACAATCAGCATCGTCATCATCGTTATTATCTGAAGAAGAGACATCCAAGCATCATCCAGCATAAACCTCATCGGCATCATCCCAGTCTTTTCTGGAGCCCCAAGTATGAACATAAACATTTTCACTGCATCAGATTAGCTCTTTTCAAAGCTAAGAGGCCCCTTTGCAGGAAATTATATGGAAAATTGCAGGTGGACTCAATGCAGCTGCACCCAGTGCTTCCCCCTAGCTTCCTCAACAAAGGCAAAAACAGAGCCCAGAGAGAGAGAGAGAGAGAGAGTCTCAGAGGAAAGGATAAGACAGAGGATAGAGAAGGCGAAGGAGAGGCTCTGCGGCGCAGCATCAAAGACCAGCAGCGTCCTCTGAGAGCAGAAAGAGAGCAGCCGGGATTTAAACAGCATTTAGGAGGTCGATATACCTGGGTCATTAGCCGTGAGCAGACTTCACCAAGAGACAGAACCAGCAAAACCTAAAGATTAACAATCCAAAGCAAGCGAGTAAGACAGACATAGACGTACACACACCAGCCTCAACAAACCAGAATCTGAAAAAAGCTCTGCAGGCGCAGCTGATAGCATCTCATGCACACTCCCAGTCACTCACGGAAACAGCATCCTTACCTTCCTGCACCGCCTGGAAAGGGTTGTTGGGCTCGATGAGTTTAATTGAGTGTGTGATCTTCTCACTCTGCAGGACGTCATCACTCAGACTGAGGTCAGACACGGCGAGCTGGAACACCTCATCGTCCCGCACTGCGTTCTCCTCAAATATTGCACCTGGTCGGGAGGAAACGGGCACAGGAAATGGATTAGCAGGACAGTTGGAGGCAAAACCAGACGACATGACTTTTAAAGCAAAAGTTACAAAAATTCACCAGGTCCAATGTGCTGATAATGTTTATTTGTTGTGGAATTAACTACTAAAACCTGTCAGAGTATCCCAAGATGCTTTATAGTCAAATCAGGACTATTTAGAACCCAAATGCAGCTGCACTGACTGAAAAAAGTTACGCAACAGGTCATTACTTTGGCAGGAAATGCATCCTGTGTCACAGCGGCAAGCAGAACTCACGAGTTCTCAGTCATTAGACTGATATTTTACATAAAGGCACAAGATTAACTAAAATGCCAAATTGCCGCACTGTGGTTCTAAATTAATAAATCAAACAAAAGCAAAGAGAAAAGAAACCTCCCCGTTATATTCCAATGTCAAATTAATTAAGCAGGATTATGTTTCCAAAGCAGAAATCCATTTGACAGAGCTCAGTAACATGACACAATAAAGAAAATAGTCCCATACAGTATGTTTAATAAATGTTAGAAGATGTGGAAGAGCTGCTTGGTTTCTGTTACAGTAAGGTTGCTAATTAAGAGTCCAATTGGTGAAATTACTGAGCAGCTACCATGGTAACAATTATATTCAACCAACACCTTAAATCTAGCGGAGAAAAAGCAGATGAAGGAATGTGCACAGTGTATGTAAAGCCTGGGTTCATACCACTGTAGTGAATTATTAAGGGTGAATATTTGTGGGTTGTGTGTACTGGCTAGAGTAAACACAAATTATCCAGCGGTCAAACTTCCACAAGTAACATATTAAAATCCGCTTAGCTTTCTGTGGGAACAAGTGAATATCAGATTGTTTCAGTTTTTCTCAGTGAAGATGTCCTAACCTGCTCCGCACGTCAGCCTGGCATCTTATGGTCTTTAAACAGGCCGGTTTGTTGTGGCGCACATTTTTGATCACTTTATTGTGGTTAGGCTGCATTTATCAGTTTGTGTTCGTGGTTGTCTGACTGCACAGCTCTGTTTGTGGGTTGCGATACCCACATTTATCCAACTTTTCATCTTTGGTTCTGGGATGCAGATATGAAGCTTTGACTGCTTATTGTGCGTTTTCTCTTGCATATGTAATGTTTTTCACAGTTTAACAGGGTTTGTGGCAAGGTTATGTTTTGGGCTGGTTTTCATTGAAGTGGGGGGGGGGGGGGGGTTACACTGTGATTGGGCTGGAAACTGTCAATCTGATCAGTAACACTGGCTCCATAGATCCATGTATGCTGCAGATGATGTATGATGCAACAACTGCTGTGGTGTATGAAACTGGTTCCAGTTATGTACATGTCAATATAACAATAAACATTAAAAATATATTTATGTCTCCCACAGAGTCCAATAAATGTGATAGATTCCCTTCAGTAAAGTCCCATACAAGTGTTAATTTTGAAAGCAAAAACATATTTTGAATTTATTTTAAAAGCAGGTGAATAAAATGAATGGGATACTGAAACCACAGCTGACCACATTAAAAGCTTTTTGAATTAACCTAGCTATTAATATACAGCAGGTGTTAAATGTTTAATCAAGGCTAACGTTAATGTTAATGTCTCACTGTGGCTCCAGTTACTTGAACGTGAAAAACAGCCCAAACACGTGTGATAGAATTAGCTGCACTACTTCTTTTTTCCTTCCTTTACCAACCTTTCAGCCACCTGTGTCCGTCAGGTAGCTTTGCTGGTGCTGCTTTGCTGGTGCTGTTGTTAGTCTTCCTAACACCTTAAGGGGAAAGTTGCTGCTGTGTTTTTGCTAACAGGTGTGCAGGTGTCCTCAGGTTCGCCATGTTTATAAAGCGTGACGCGGATGTATTTCCACGGTTACCTTCTCAAACTGCGGCTCCAGCAGAGCGACCTCCGCTTTCTGAGGTTAGTTAACAGGGACTGCGTTTGTTTCTGCGGTGAAGGAGCTGAGAGAGCCTCCTTCTTCCATTTAAATCAGTCATTTCAGACAGCTCCGTTATCTCATCACGTCCTGTCCAGGTAGTTTTGGGCCTGACTAATTAACTAACTAACTGACACGTTCAGCCAATCACCGGCGACAACACGAACCGTACAGGTGACTTCCAATACGTTTCTTTATTGATCATGTGATCCGCTAAACCTCCCGCCCAATCCAATCAGCCAATCAGCAGCTGCACCTTAAATCGAATGAAGAAAATTAAACATACTGTATGTATATTAATTAATTTATATATATATATATATATATATATATATATATATATATATATATGTGTGTGTGTGTGTGTGTGTGTATATATATATATATATATATATACACATATATATATATATATATATATATATATATATATATATATATATATGTATATGTATGTGTGTATATATATGTGTAATAACTTTAACTAACTTTAGTTACAAAGCGATTAAATAAAGCATAAATAAATAAAAACTAATAAAATTAAACAACACATATACAATTCAACAATAAATACAAATTATTATATATATATATATATATATATATATATACACACACACACACAGTATAATATAACCCAGGAACACAAGTAAGCACACACACACACACACACACACACACACACACACGAGTTAAAATAAAACACATCAGAGATTGTGAGGTGACAGGATAGTTTCACACTAGCCTGATAATCAGACTGAAATGCCATTTTCTTTCATTTTATTAATTCTATTTGAATCACTGAACAAATTAGACATGTGGAAAAGTGTGTCCGGCCAGCCTGGGGTCCACTGTATGTCGGTTAGTTTGTGATTAATTGATTAATCCAGACTTGATGGGGAAACAGCACCAAATGACATCATCACCTGACATAAGAGCTTTAACACTTCTTTATTCTGGGGAGCTTTTCTCATCAAATATATTATGTTCATTTAAATGGTAGTTTAAATGTTGCATATTCCACAATAAATCTGCATTTAATGAAATTATCACAAACTAAGGGGGCAGGTAGAATCCCAGGATGGGTCTATGGGGCTCTAATTCAGACAGCTACTTTATGGGACTAAAGTTGTTTAAAACAACATGGCCAATGATACAGATGGCTGAATACCCAGATTGTCATGGGTTTATTCCAAAAACATAATACTTCCTGCATCATGATGTTGACAAAGACCATGTAATATGATCAAAAGCACCAGAACAGCTTTTAAATGGACCTCCTTTATCAACTCCTGTTCCTGAGGTCAAGACTGAACTTTGAACCTAAACTTTTAAGCCAAAGTGTACAAGAAGTTACTGAAGTGCTCACAAAAAGTGGAAATATGAACATCTACATCTTGGAACTCTCCATCCGCTGATCGAGATCCTGTGATGTGACTGAAAGCTACAGATCAGCTGTTAACTGGACCCTATGGTGAGACTGCTTCTCTACATTTTCTTCTGTGTGGCATGAAAAGAAGTTCTGCAACTGAAAGACTTCAGGATCTGAGCAAAGAGAAATGCTGCTGCTCAAGAGTTCCAGCTGAAATGATGCATGCATTTAATTCTCATGAACTGGCTGAAGGGGTGAGAAACAGATTAAACTTACATGAAAATGTCTTGGTTAAAAGATGTGTAGCAGGTTTCTGCCAGGAATAAGTACAACTGGGAAATATTAAGTGTGCGGGCTGATGAATGGATGAGCAAAATTGGATTTTTTTAGTGAATGGAAAGGGACAGAAATGCGGACGAGTGGACGGATTGATAACTGGAATTTTCCGGATTCTGTTCGGACAATTTGTCACGCACAATTAAGAAAACCTTGCCTACGAGTAAGAATTCAATTTGCCAGTCTGCTTGTGCTCATTCATCTCGCTGAGTATCCAAATGAACTCAGCACCAAGATCCTCGCTGTGGATTTGACACCAGCCTTCCTCGCAAGGCGGTGAGGGGACGCTGTCTCGCTTCTGGGCTTGATCAATCAATCATCCAGTTTTGAAATTGCACTCACTCAGGCGTTTTCAATTAAGAATGATTCTTGCTGCACCTGTCAGAGACAACTGTGAGGGAATTGATGCGAGGTTTATATTTCTCCTCGCAGCAGCAGACTGGGGAGCCTCAAACTTCAACAAGTTTAATTAATAATGAGTGCTGAGGGCGGAGGAGGCTGACTCTGGACTCACTGCTGCCTCTGTGAGCTCAGGATCGAACATCCATGAATTTTACACTCCTCAGTCTCTCCTGCTGTCTATTTTGAGAAACGGGGGAAAACTGAAGGGGTCATTTCACCCAAATTACAAAAGAAATGTCACTTCCCCCTATTAGTTTGGGTTTCATAGTTTTTTTTTTTTATATCTTTCTCTAACATTTCTGCCTCCACCCCAACAAAATGGAGGTGAAAATGAAAATTAGTTTGCTCATAATCACATGCTTCCTCCCGAACATATAGTTTGTAGCACTTTACAGCACGTTCTGTGGATGAGTCAGCGTGACGGTGATTGTGGAAAGAGATAATGTTGTATTTTTATAAATTTTAAATGCTGTGAGCGACACAAACTACAGTATTTTAACCTCTACTGTGTTGGGGTGAAGGCAGAGAGCTCAGAGAAAGATATCTCTAAACTTGGACAAATGAAACCAAAACACACGCAATGATAGACACCAAAAGGACTAAATGAGAAAATGTGTTTTCGTCAGTTGTTGTGACAGACATTATTATTTTCATTTATGAAAATTTTCTACACTAATTGAGTCATTTTTGCTGTCATGTTTTTGCCTTTTGCTTTTATTTATTTGATTTGATTAAAATTCATTAAAATTCATGACCGAGCAGCTGAATCACATCATCAACACGAGCATTTCCCTCATAACATAACAAACCTCCCGCTGTTCACAAAACACCACTCAACCCACCCTGTTGGACTGTTCGTCCTGCTTCTCCACCTCGCTGACAAAAACACAGTATATCCTGCCATACATTCAGTGCCTCCAGAAGCATTAGCCTCCTGGCACCTGACCTT